CAACCTATGAAGAGTTCCTAATCTGGACAAACTCCTCAACCAGGACACAAGGGTGGGACTGGAGATCCTACATTACCAGGAATTACAGAATCCGTCCGAGGAGCGTCAGTGATTATCACCGCTCTTCTGGTTCTACAGGTCCATGAAGTACACGTCACTGCTCTTCCAGGACCATATCCTGATGGTTCTACAGGTCCATGAAGTGTCAGTACACATCACTGCTCTTCTGGGACCATATCCTGATAGTTCTACATGTCCATGAAGTACACATCACTGCTCTTCTGGGACCTTATCCTGATGGTTCTACATGTCCATGAAGTGTCAGTACACGTCACTGCTCTTCTGGGACCATATCCTGATGGTTCTACATGTCCATGAAGTACACATCACTGCTCTTCTGGGACCTTATCCTGATGGTTCTACATGTCCATGAAGTACATATCACTGCTCTTCTGGGACCTTATCCTGATGGTTCTACATGTCCATGAAGTGTCAGTACACGTCACTGCTCTTCCAGGACCATATCCTGATGGTTCTACATGTCCATGAAGTGTCAGTACACGTCACTGCTCTTCCAGGACCATATCCTGATGGTTCTACAGGTACATAAAGTGTCAGTACACATCACTGCTCTTCCAGGACCATATCCTGATGGTTCTACAGGTCCATGAAGTACACATCACTGCTCTTCCGGGACCATATCCTGATGGTTCTACAGGTCCATGAAGTGTCAGTACACGTCACTGCTCTTCCAGGACCATATTCTGATGGTTCTACAGGTCCATAAAGGTCAGTACACATCACTGCTCTTCCAGGACCATATCCTGATGGTTCTACAGGTCCATGAAGTGTCAGTACACATCACTGCTCTTCCGGGACTATATCCTGATGGTTCTACAGGTCCATTAAGTACACATCACTGCTCTTCCGGGACCATATCCTGATGGTTCTACAGGTCCATGAAGTGTCAGTACACGTCACTGCTCTTCCAGGACCATATTCTGATGGATTTACAGGTCCATGAAGTCTCCGTACACATCACTGCTCTTCCGGGACCCGTTCTGATGGACCTTCAGGTCCATGAAGTGTCAGTACATGTCACTGCTCTTCTGGGACCATATTTTGATGGTTCTACAGGTCCACGAAGTCTCAGTACACATCACACATCCTTCTAACCTCTCCCCGCCTTATTATCTCTTACTGAAAGGACTTAAAACCAAAAGATCAACATATGAAGATTTCCTAATCTGGAAAAACTCCTCAACCAGGACACAAGGGTGGGACTGGAGATCCTACATTACCAGGAATTACAGAATCCGTCCGAGGAGCGTCAGTGATTATCACCGCTCTTCTGGTTCTACAGGTCCATGAAGTACACATCACTGCTCTTCAGGGACCATATTCTGATGGTTCTACAGGTCTACATGTTGCTCTTGCTGTATCTATGTGATTGCTTATTAAAGCCTTGGCCCCATATTGGAGAATGCTGGTGTCATTTCTCCCTCATATTGTGATGGTTCTACAGGTCCATGATTCTCATACATATCACTGCTCTTACGGGACCATATCCTGATGATTCTACAGGTCCATGAAGTCTCATACATATCACTGCTCTTACGGGACCATATCCTGATGGTTCTACAGGTCCATGAAGTCTCATACACATCACTGCTCTTACGGGACCATATCCTGATGGTTCTACAGGTCCATGAAGTCTCATACATATCACTGCTCTTACGGGACCATATCCTGATGGTTCTACAGGTCCATGAAGTCTCATACATATCACTGCTCTTACGGGACCATATCCTGATGGTTCTACAGGTCCATGAAGTCTCATACATATCACTGCTCTTACGGGACCATATCCTGATGGTTCTACAGGTCCATGAAGTCTCATACATATCACTGCTCTTACGGGACCATATCCTGATGGTTCTACAGGTCCATGAAGTGTCAGTACAGATCACTGCTCTTCCGGGACCATATTCTGATTGATTTACAGGTCCATGAAGTGTCAGTACATGTCACTGCTCTTCTGGGACCATATTCTGATGGATTTACAGGTCCATGAAGTGTCAGTACATGTCACTGCTCTTCTGGGACCATATTCTGAGGGTTCTTCAGGTCTATGAAGTCTCACCACATATCACTGCTCTTCTGAGACCATATTCTGACATTTCTACAGGTCTATAAAGTGTCAGTACACATCAGTGCTCTTCTGGGACCATATTATGATGGTTCTACAGGTCGATGAATTGTCAGTACATATAACTGCTCTTTGGGGACCATATTCTGACGGTTCTATAGATCCATGAAGTGTCAGTACATATCACTGCTATTCTGGGACCAATTCTGATGGACCTACAAGTCCATGAAGTATAAGTACATATCACTGCTCTTCCGGGACCATATTCTGATGGTTCTACAGGTCCATGAAGTGTCAGTACACATCAGTGCTCTTCTGGGACCATATTATGATGGTTCTACAGGTCCATAAAGTGTCAGTACACATCACTGCTCTTCCGGGACCATATTCTGATGGTTCTACAGGTCCATGAAGTGTCAGTACACATCAGTGCTCTTCTGGGACCATATTCTGATGGTTCTACAGGTCCATAAAGTGTTAGTGCACATCACTGCTCTTCAGGGACCATATTGTGATTCTGTTGGTTCTACATTCAATGAAGTGGGCCCAGCTCTCCTCTGTAAAGCCAGATTTACTCTTCACATATCAGAAAATGAACGCTGAATGGATAAAGGGCAGACGTCAGGCTTGGTCTCAGGTGGCTCATACTTTAACTATGTATGTGTATGATGAAATCTGTTCAATCTGTAGCTCAGCACCTCTGCTGAACCTTTGTCTCTGAGAACTAATAATAGCTCATTGTCTCTGGGGTTAGGACTTTCAGGGACATGGAACTGGGACCTAGAATTCGTTCTCCTGTCATCAGGGGATGAATTCTGATTGGACGAGGAGGGTTATGGCCCTTTGCCTTATTGAAGAAGCCTATCAGAGCTATTGTGCTCCACATGACAAAGGTAGGAGCAGCCCTGTCAGGAAGGGAAGGTGCCTATACTCATGCTGTGCTCACTGTACTGGTATTTTGGTGTGTTATTTTCACAACTTTGACTGGCCAAGGTTTTGTTTACAATGGAGAGAAAGAGCGAGCTTAGAATTAGTGAAGCCTCCTGGAAGGCCGAAAGCCGCTTAGCTTGTGTTGGGCTGTTGAGCAGGGAGGGTGTTGTTGTTTTTGGAAAGAACTGATCCATTGACGAACATGCCATCAGGGAACAGACCTCACCTTCATTACACGTCTGCACCCAAAACAAACCAGCAATTGTATGAAGGTTATCCCGACCTGGCAGCTCCGGCACTACACAAGCAGCTTTTCTATGAGAGGACGATGTGCAGGCCCAGCCGGGACATAGAATCTAAGCCATCCTATCTACTGTTCACAAAGAGGACTCTGCCCTGGAAATAGGCCGGACGTGCTGTAAGTGGAATGGTAGTCCTTCCTATGGGGTGGTGTATGGGATAGAGCAGTCTGTGTGTCTGGGCGGGTCTCCTGTGTCTTCATCAGGTCCTGACATTCAATGGCACCGATCCTACACCAAGTGTGTCCTCACCTAGTGCCTCTATGTGATCATTTGGGGGGCTCACGCAATGATGATCAATAAGTCATTTTCCTGGGAATTATTATTATTATTATTATTACTACGAGTTTATATAGCGCCAAAGGGTTTGCTCAGCGCTGTACAATAGGGGGGGACAATACATGGCACAGTACAACAAAGACAGACAGCGTTTAAGAGGGCCCTACTCTTACGAGCTTACAATCTAGGAAATGCCAACATACTTACCTACCAAGGCGGTTTGATAAATTGTCAACAATCAGCGATTTGATTGTCTGAGTAGAAGGTTAAAGTGGATGGAAGCCCCCAATCCAATGTTCAGTATGGCGGCGTTCATACCTCACTGTATATGTTTCCTGAAGTCGAACTTTACTCATAACATGATAAAAAAATAAAGGTCCTTCAGCAAGGAACATCCATTCCACATTAATAATTCTGCTACCAAAATCGGTGTGGGCTGTAAATTGCCTCCATCATGGCTGATGTTTCTTCTTACTGGAGGCAGCCATTTTGCTGAAGCCCAGAGCCCCTGAGCAGCAGTTAGGCGGTCAGCAGATTGGCCTCTACAAATTTGGCACAGTGCCATAAATTAGAGAGTAACTGAGCATGTGCAGAGCAGGGTGTGACAGCGTATTACTGGACGGTACACAGTATAGGCACTTAAAGTTTTACAGAGCTAGGCCTGCTGAAGAAGCCAGCCTGATGTCATCTAGCAGGACTTCATGTTCTGACTAAAGTTCCACTTTAAGAAAACCTATTTTTGTGAATCTTTTGCAAAAGTTCTTACCTGGAGATCCTGCCAGGTGACAACGCCAAGCCCCCTGCTCACAATTAGCAGCTCTGTTGTCAGATTACTGTGTGCATTTCCTCAACCGTTAGGCACCCAAAGGCCAACGGAAGGAGCTTGAGAGGCAGAGGCTCGGTGTTGTCACTGGAAGGATCTCCAGGTCAGAAACTTTACACGGTGAGGTATGAAGTCAAACCTGTGGAATATTCGATTTACGGCTTTCTTCCACTCTGAGTGGTCTGTCCCTTCTGAGTGCCATAAGAGAGCCCAGCCAGGAATGGGGGAGTATTGAAGGAGTATGCATTGTGTATATCCTCCATACTGCTCTGCACCTCCGGCCAATATAGCACCACCTGTACACACTAGGACAGGTGATGAGGATGTATGGACGGCCTGCACTTGTTATGGGATATTCTGCACACACGGTACATTGTGTACAATTGGTAAACAATGATCAGAGCCCGGGGGCGGCCAGAAGCCCTCGGCCCCAACAAGAAGCCAGGAAGTGAAGCCATTGACGTTTTGGATGGTTTGCTTTGTCAGAGTGAGATTTGTGATGTGTCTCTCTTTCCCGCAGATGACGCTGAGGTTAATGGTCGCCGTGAGTGTCGCCGTACTCGGATCCCTGCAGTTTGGCTATAACACAGGAGTGATCAACGCCCCGCAGAAGGTAGGTGGGATTCAGATGTTTAGTAATCAGAGTACATTCATCTAATAAACAGCTAGGAACGGACTTGTATTCACTCCCTGCCCTGTAGTCCAGGAGCTCAGAGTCTACAGAACGAGGGTCCTCAGCCCCCTCCTAGACCATTGGGGTACAATACCAGCCTCAATGTAACCTTGCAGCCCAAGCTCCATTATTTTCAGGTCTCTTGCTGGCCTCCTGCCCCGGGGTAAATGCCCATTCTATGATCAGAGCCCTGAGAACACCCAACCAATGACGGGCCTCTAAAAAGGAGTGGGCTGATCTGCTCTGTCAGAGGACCTCACCCAGGAAGACAGAGTTTATCTGGGGTGAAAGTGGGCGTGGCTTCTAAAGTATCCAGTGACCAATCATATTGCAGCAGATTGGTGTCACTGTGCAAAACATAAACAAGACGTGCAGCCGAGCCAGACCTGAAATAGCACATCTCATTAGGAAGATTAACCTGCCTGCTAAGATCCCATCATGCCTCAGGATTCCTAGGAATAAAGGATCCTGTTAACTCTTGAAATGTACCATGGGTGTGATCCTCTGGCAGTGATCTCCCTGCATTGCTCAGGTGTACACTGAGTGTGGGGAGGTGACGGCGCTCCTCAGTGGTCAACCTCATATAGTGAAAGTCCTCAACCATTCCGCCCCGCCTGCTGCTTCCTCTTATTTCAGATCTCTTATAGATGAATAGTCACCATCTGCACTGCTGTATACCTACAAATACAAACTCCATGTTCTACAGATCATTTCATATTCATAGCCGGGAATCGGCAAAGGCGGAAATGGGTCTTCATCACCCCATGGTACATATTGACTCTAAAAAGCTCCGTTCTCCCCATCACTGGTGATGGATTTCGATGATGGCTCCGGGCTGCTTCCAGGAGACAGCAATGTTCTCCTTCCCCTCACTCACCTGAGTACAGGTGTGGACAGGTGAGAGAGTGGCTGGCTGCGGGCGGTCTATGGAAGTCACAAGCTGTATTTCTGCCACACCTCAGCCTTGTCACACTTCAACCTCTATGTGGCCCTCTAGGCAGTGAAGCTTGCTGTTGTGTAACTCTGTGTAGTTCGTCCTTCCAGCTCAGGCCCCGGCTTGTTCTCCATGAAGCCTCTGCTGAGGGCGGAGCCTGGATGGCGGGGGAACAATGATCTGTACAGCTGCACACTGTCGGGGAGGTTGTGCCAGTCTGCTCCTCCACATGACATAGGCTGGCTCCCCGGCATTGTTTGCTGTGTCTGTGCTGTGTAGCACTTTCCTTGCATGCCACGAAGCGGCGCCGGCTCAGGGAGAGGTTGCTGAGTCACTGTGATCATCGCAATTAACTCCTGTGGGTACAGAGCCTGGCCTCCCTCAAGGCGAAAATGTCCCGGGGTTCAAATACATTAGAGGCCCCAACTTTCCACATCGAAGTAGAGAAGCACCTCCTCCCTGTAGAGGGGACCATCTGTCCCTCATAGTGCTGAAGTCTTCTTGGATCCCACAGTCTGAGGAGAGAAGGTCCTTCATCAGTTTTGTCTAGATTTTATGACCAGGTGACCCCTCCACTTGAATATTGGGGCCCCTTATATGCCAGTCTTATCACTCAAGAGGCGACTCCTCCACTCGAATACTAGGACCCCCTATATTCCAGTCTTGACACTCAAGAGGGACCCCTCTACTGGAATATTGGGGCCCCTTATATTCCAGTCGTATCATTCAAGAGGTGACCCCTCCACACAAAATATTAGGACCCCCTATATTCCAGTCTGATCATTCAAGAGGACCCCTCCACTCAAATATTAGGACCCCCTATATTCCAGTCTGATCATTCAAGAGGTGACCCCTCCACTCAAATATTAGGACCCCCTATATTCCAGTCTGATCATTCAAGAGGTGACCCCTCCACTCAAATATTAGGACCCCCTATATTCCAGTCTGATCATTCAAGAGGTGACCCCTCCACACAAAATATTAGGACCCCCTATATTCCAGTCTGATCATTCAAGAGGTGACCCCTCCACGCAAAATATTAGGACCCCCTATATTCCAGTCTGATCATTCAAGAGGTGACCCCTCCACCCAAATATTAGGACCCCCTATATTCCAGTCTGATCATTCAAGAGGTGACCCCTCCACACAAAATATTAGGACCCCCCTATATTCCAGTCTGATCATTCAAGAGGTGACCCCTCCACCCAAATATTAGGACCCCCTATATTCCAGTCTGATCATTCAAGAGGTGACCCCTCCACACAAAATATTAGGACCCCCTATATTCCAGTCTGATCATTCAAGAGGTGACCCCTCCACCCAAATATTAGGACCCCCTATATTCCAGTCTGATCATTCAAGAGGTGACCCCTCCACTCAAATATCAGGACCCCTATATTCCAGTCTGATCATTCAAGAGGTGACCCCTCCACCCAAATATTAGGACCCCCTATATTCCAGTCTGATCATTCAAGAGGTGACCCCTCCACTCAAATATCAGGACCCCTATATTCCATAATGCATTTGCCTGCATAAAGGTCACTTTGGACGTCTCCTAACCGTCCATGTCAGCAATTGATTTTCAGGGTGACATTTTTCCATGTATTTTGGGAGCCGGTGACATTGTGACATGCAAATTTGTGCCCGCCTAAGTCAGCCAATCACAGGCTGCATCGCCCACACACCCTCCTCGGTGCGCTTTGTGTACAGACGAGGAATGTGTTCCTGGCAGATTGCACTCGCTCACCCCTAGTGTGGGACGGATCAGATGACGGCTGCTAGTCCTCCTACTGGCTCTCCAGAGTTTACATCAGCTGAGTAAATGCAGTAATAAGATCCCTGAACATGTCCTGGGGGCAGGAAAAAAGGAAGGGTGGGGGATGGGAAGGGGGGATGGCAAGGCTGCAGAGACACCTGGTGGTGAGGCATAAGTATTACAGCATTCTGTAGACCAGCCAAGAGCGGGACAACTAATGTGCAGTGTAGCCAGGCTATGAAATCTGCATGCCGGCCACACCATGGAAGAATAAAATGGCGGCTGCCTGTATGCAGACATACGAGTGCAGGATAACGTGTCAGTACGTCGTAGTATCACAGATCTCTTCCTCAGTATTCATGACTGTTTTCTGGTTGTTTGTAGGTGATTGAGAATTTCTACAATGAGACCTGGCTAAGCCGCTATGATATGCCCATCTCAGACACCACGCTGACCTCACTATGGTCCCTCTCAGTCGCCATCTTCTCGGTCGGTGGCATGATTGGCTCGTTTTCCGTGGGGCTGTTTGTGAACCGCTTCGGAAGGTTAGTTATGTGTATATGAGGATGTGTACCTACAGAGCTGGGCATGTATTCTGATGTACCTGAAGTGTTCGATCATCCAACTCCTCATTCTGCTTCACGGGGTTCTATTAATACCCGAAGCAGGTCTATGAAGGTCAAGGATTGAGACATCCCGGCCTCCTGGAATCCATGGCAGTCTGGTGGAGTCACAGGACTCTGTAGGGTCCAATATTAGAACCTCAGGGTTTAAAATGGCAAAATAAGATGAGAAAGCTGAAAATGGATCCTCAATAGTGGGAAGGAAGGCGAGGAGTCCGGAAGGATCTGCAGCCTCTTAGCAATCTATAGGCTTTTTCTGGCTCCCATTACTGAGAAACCTCAAATGGTATAACTGGTAAACCACAAAGAGGAGTATTGTGTAACTAATGTACAGACCTATCAGATAGCTGCTGATCCGCACCTCCAACATATCGATTTTATATAAAGTAAGGGATAAATTATTATGGTCTAGGAGGAAAAACTAAGCTGGTTTTTGCTTTTGTCCACAGACGTAATTCCATGTTAATAGCCAACATCCTGGCCTTCATTGCTGCTATATTTATGGGCTTCTCCAAGATGGCGTACTCCTTTGAGATGCTAATTATTGGCCGGTTTGTGATTGGTCTGTACTGTGGTCTGACTACTGGATTTGTTCCCCTGTATGTTGGAGAGGTTGCCCCTACATCCCTGAGAGGTGCCCTGGGCACACTGCACCAGCTGGGTGTTGTGGTTGGAATTCTGATTGCCCAAGTAAGTAACAACATGACTGTTATATACAAGGATGATAGTGTCCATGAAGAGCCGCTGGTAGTCATTTCTCCTTGTATCTGCGCAGATCTTTGGGCTTGAGCCGATTATGGGGAACGACTCACTGTGGCCTCTACTTTTGGGATGCATCTTCATACCTGCACTGATCCAGTGCGCAGCACTGCCCTTCTGCCCTGAAAGTCCTCGATTTCTTCTCATCAACCGCAATGAAGAAGATAAAGCCAAAAGCGGTGAGTAACCAAACGTCTCGCACCACAATGTCAGATCTTAAAATAGCTTATTAGGCCACGGTCCAAGGCCACAAGATGTTTCACTACATGCAGTCTCCTCCACGAATGACAACATTCTCCTCTACGTCTTATAGTGTTGAAGAAGCTTAGAGGCACCACGGATGTTACTGCTGACCTGCAGGAGATGAAGGAGGAAAGTCGCCAGATGATGAGGGAAAAGAAGGTCACCATTCTAGAGCTCTTCAGGTCACCACTGTATCGCCAACCTATCTTGATTGCTATTGTCCTTCAACTATCCCAGCAGCTTTCTGGTATTAATGCGGTAAGGGCTGCACGCATGACCTTGCTTTGTTACATACGATTACACATTTCCTGCATGACGCCACGTATAAAATCTAACATTCAGACTCTAATGTATGGTTTTCCCCTTGGTTCAGGTTTTCTACTATTCCACCATGATCTTTGAAAAAGCTCAAGTTGAGCAGCCAATCTATGCCACCATAGGTGCTGGGATTGTGAACACCGCCTTTACTGTGGTCTCGGTGAGTAAAATGCAAAGAATTTGCTGTCACTAAAATTGAGACATAACCGTCATGGATGTAAAGGATTCCATAAACTTCCTAAGACCCCATTCACACTTGTGCGACTTGTCATGCTACTTTGGACATCAAAATCGCATGACAAGATGTACCCTGTGTTTTCCCAATGATACCCATTCATACATGTGCGACTGAAAGCTGCAGCAACATCAAAGTAGTTCATGCACTACATTGGACCGACTTTCATGCCACTTGAGGGCCACGGACTTCAATGTTAACCCTCAAAAGCTGCAGGAAAGTCATACCTGGTTGTTTTACATGCAACAATGGTGGAACAGTGGGTCTAACTTTGCACAAGGACAAGTTACATCCAAGTTGCACCCATCCAAAGTTGCATCAAAGATGCCCTCCAAAGTCGTGCAACTTTGGACTCATACAAGTGTGAATGGAGGCTTAGTCTGGTTGATAGATCTGGGTGATAAAACATCAGGAGAGCCTTCAGGAACCCAATATATACAAACTGGAGGACAGAAGGGAAAGGATGGACATGACTGAAACCTTTAAATACATGAAGGGGTGAATAATTTTCAGGAGGGCAGGATTTCCAATATGAAACCAAGATGAAGAACACGGGGACATGACCTCCAACTAACTGGAGGAACGTGCAACACTAGCCTTAGGAAGTACAATTTTATTGAAGGAGTAGTTGATGGCTGGAATAGAATTTCCGGCAGAGGTAGAATCAGGAAACAGGAAGTGGATTCAAACATAGGTCTATACTCAGGAAAAAACAAATGGGGCAGACTGGATGGAGCACTTGGACTTTTTGCTGCCATCGCTCTTCTGTGTTTCTGCGATGAATTTTAATCTTTGTGGAAGTTAGACATACTATCCCCTCTTCAGTCATGAATACGGCTGCCAGACTCATCCACCTTACTAACCGCTCCGTATCTGCCACCCCTCTCTGCAATCCCTCCACTGGCCTCCATTCAGTGTCCTCCACCCCTCTCTGCAATCCCTCCACTGGCCTCCACTCAGTGTCCTCCACCCCTCTCTGCAATCCCTCCACTGGCCTCCATTCAGTGTCCTCCACCCCTCTCTGCAATCCCTCCACTGGCCTCCATTCAGTGTCCTCCACCCCTCTCTGCAATCCCTCCACTGGCCTCCATTCAGTGTCCTCCACCCCTCTCTGCCAATCCCTCCACTGGCCTCCATTCAGTGTCCTCCACCCCCCCTCTCCACTGCCAATCCCTGCCATCCCTCCAAAGGGCTCCATTCAGTGCCTCCACCCCTCTCTGCCAATCCCTCCACTGGCCTCCATTCAGTGTCCTCCACCCCCTCTGCAATCCCTCCACAGGGCTCCATTCAGTGTCCTCCACCCCCTCTCTGCCAATCCCTCCACTGGCCTCCATTCAGTGTCCTCCACCACCCCTCTGCCAATCCCTCCACTGGCCTCCATTCAGTGTCCTCCACCCCTCTCTGCCAATCCCTCCACTGGCCTCCATTCAGTGTCCTCCACCCCTCTCTGCCAATCCCTCCACTGGCCTCCATTCAGTGTCCTCCACTGTCCTCTCTCCGCTCCTCGCATGACCTCCTACTCTCTAACTCCCTTGTCTCCTCCTCTCATGTTCATCTCCAGGACTTCTCCAGAGATTCCCCATCCTCTGGAACTCTCTACCCCAATCTATCAGACTATCGCCTGCTCTGCTCACTTTTAGGCGATCTCTGAAAACCGATCTCTTCAGGGAAGCCTATCCTGCCCTCAGCTAATAATGGAATCTTCTATTCCTCCAACCAGTCCATCCCCCACAGTTACTACCTTTTGTACCACTAGCCCCTCCCTCCTAGATTGTAAGCTCCCAGGATCAGGGCCCTCCTATCCCTCTTGTATTGATCTGTATTGTTGCTGTATTGTCTCCTGTTATATTGTACAGCTCTGAGCACACTGTTGGAGCCATAAATCCTGTATAATAATAATAAAACAATAATAATAATACTGGGGTTTACTCACTAAAGCTGGAGAGGACAAAATCAGGTGCACTTCTGCATGGCAACCAATCAGCTTCCAGGTTTTCAGGTGCACTTCTGCATGGCAACCAATCAGCTTCCAGGTTTTCAGGTGCACTTCTGCATGGCAACCAATCAGCTTCCAGGTTTTCAGGTGCACTTCTGCATGGCAACCAATCAGCTTCCAAGTTTTCAGGTGCACTTCTGCATGGCAACCAAATCGCTTCAAGGTTTTCAGGTGCACTTCTGCATGGCAACCAATCAGCTTCCAGGTTTTCAGGTGCACTTCTGCATGGCAACCAATCAGCTTCCAGGTTTTCAGGTGCACTTCTGCATGGCAACCAATCAGCTTCCAGGTTTTCAGGTGCACTTCTGCATGGCAACCAATCAGCTTCCAGGTTTTCAGGTGCACTTCTGCATGGCAACCAATCAGCTTCCAGGTTTTCAGGTGCACTTCTGCATGGCAACCAATCGGCTTCCAGGTTTTCAGGTGCACTTCTGCATGGCAACCAATCAGCTTCCAGGTTTTCAGGTGCACTTCTGCATGGCAACCAATCAGCTTCCAGGTTTTCAGGTGCATTTCTGCATGGCAACCAATCAGCTTCCAGGTTTTCAGGTGCACTTCTGCATGGCAACCAATCAGCTTCCAGGTTTTCAGGTGCACTTCTGCATGGCAACCAATCAGCTTCCAGGTTTTCAGGTGCACTTCTGCATGGCAACCAATCGGCTTCCAGGTTTTATGCATGGCCAAAGCTTAATTGAACAAACTGAGGTTAGAAGCTGATTGGCTGCCATGCAAGGCCGCACCAGATTCTGAGTGAACCAGCTTTAGTAAATCTCCCCCAGTGAGGAAACACAACTAAACTCTGATATCCGAGACTGCATTTGTGCCCCAGGAAGATGAATGATGAGCTTTACTTTGTCTTCCAGCTGTTTGTGGTGGAGAGAGCCGGCCGTCGCACGCTGCACCTCATCGGACTGGCAGGCATGGCTGGATGTGCTATACTGATGACCATTGCCCTGGTATTGCTGGTAAGTGTCAGGTACATGAATACAAACCAGCAGTCATTTATAATTAGAGGGAGACGTATTTTTGTCCTGGGAGAAAAGGGTGTCGAGAGGTTCCTGGGGCAGGCCTACTTACAGGCGCTATATTTAGGTAGATGGAAGCCCTTCACTGACAGCTACTCTCAGCACTGTACAAGGACATGATGGTCTAACCTCTCTCATTTGTCTCCTTTAGGACCGTGTGGCAGAGATGTCCTACCTCAGCATAGTAGCCATCTTCGGCTTTGTGGCATTCTTTGAAATTGGACCCGGCCCCATCCCATGGTTTATTGTGGCAGAACTGTTCAGCCAAGGTCCCCGACCTGCAGCTATTGCTGTTGCTGGCCTTTCCAACTGGACATCAAATTTCATTGTGGGAATGTGCTTCCAGTATGTAGAGGTAAGTGACTCACATCTCGAGTTCCGTTACAATGTCAATGGTTTAAACATGTGAAGGTCGGTGTATTCCAGGACATTCTCCTAACCAGCTTTGTTTTCCTTGGCAGCAAGTCACCGGTGCCTATGTCTTCATTATATTTACTGTGCTGCTCATCTTCTTCTTCATCTACACATTCTTCAAAGTGCCAGAGACCAAAGGACGCACCTTCGATGAGATTGCCTCCAACTTCAGGCAGGCTGGTGGAGAAAGCAGCACGGATAAACATACTTCTCCAGAAGAGTTCCACAGTCTGGGGGATTCCCAAGTGTAACCTTTCTCCTGCAACACCTACCTCTGGGCATTTCCCTCTCCTTCCCTACCTGTGTCCGGTCTGCCGATATATTACTGGTGGTGCAGGGTGACGTGGGGTGAGAAGTTTGAGAGGGAACGTTTCCTCAGTTTAGTTTATGTTCAGCATAACAAGGCCTCCACCTGAAATCTTGCCAGCACCTCAGGGAGGCACAGCTAGGCAGCAAACCATTTTTCAAACAATCCTGCTCGCTGCATTTCAAACCTTCTTGAATAACCACAGGGTAGATCTAGTGTTCCTGGCAGGTATATCGGCCACAGGTGGGTAGATGAAGGAGAGAGGAAAGAAGATCTCTACATAACATATACATGAATGCTTTTCTACTAAAACTGAATGTTGTATAGAATGAGCTATCGGGCCTGCAACACTACGCAGGGAGTGGGGTGTTCCTCACCCAACATGGACTCCGTTTACGTACTGTAGTAGCATTTTTTTAACTTTTCTGTGACTGTTGAGGGAAGGAGAAGAACATGATCTGCAGCATTTACGATTATGTTAATGCAGACGAAGCTTATGGGGCTAAATCATACTTTTCAAACACTGGCTAGTGGTGGAGACACTGATCTAAAAGAAGGTTTGGTGGGGACACATTGAGACCGATGTGACCTAGGAGAAGGTTTGGTGGGGACACATTGAGACCGATGTGACCTAGGAGAAGGTTTAGTGGGGACACATTGAGACCGATGTGACCTAGGAGAAGGTTTGGTGGGGACACATTGAGACCGATGTGACCTAGGAGAAGGTTTGGTGGGGACACATTGAGACCGATGTGACCTAGGAGAAGGTTTGGTGGGGACACGTTGACACCGATGTCACCTAGGAGAAGGTTTGGTGGGGACACGTTGACACCGATGTCACCTAGGAGAAGGTTTTTGAGACCGATGGACACTATTGACACCTGAGACCGATGTGACCTAGGAGAAGGTTTGGTGGGGACACATTGAGACCAATGTGACCTAGGAGAAGGTTTGGTGGGGACACATTGAGACCGATGTGACCTAGGAGAAGGTTTGGTGGGGACACATTGACACCGATGTAACCTAGGAAAGGTTTGGTGGGGACACATTGAGACCGATGTGACCTAGGAGAAGGTTTGGTGGGGACACATTGACACCAATGTGACCTAGGAGAAGGTTTGGTGGGGACACATTGAGACCGATGTGACCTAGGAGAAGGTTTGGTGGGGACACGTTGAGACCGATGTGACCTAGGAGAAGGTTTGGTGGGGACACATTGAGAACGATGTGACCTAGGAGAAGGTTTGGTGGGGACACATTGAGAACGATGTGACCTAGGAGAAGGTTTGGTGGGGACACATTGAGACCGATGTGACCTAGGAGAAGGTTTGGTGGGGACACATTGAGACCGATGTGACCTAGGAGAAGGTTTGGTGGGGACACATTGAGACCGATGTGACCTAGGAGAAGGTTTGGTGGGGACACGTTGAGACCGATGTGACCTAGGAGAAGGTTTGGTGGGGACACGTTGAGACCGATGTGACCTAGGAGAAGGTTTGGTGGGGACACACTGAGACCGATGTCACCTAGGAGAAGGTTTGGTGGGGACACATTGAGACCGATGTGACCTAGGAGAAGGTTTGGTGGGGACACATTGAGACCAATGTGACCTAGGAGAAGGTTTGGTGGGGACACATTGAAACCGATGTGACCTAGGAGAAGGTTTGGCGGGGACACATTGAAACCGATGTGACCTAGAGAAGGTTTGGCGGGGACACATTGAGACCGATGTGACCTAGGAGAAGGTTTGGTGGGGACACATTGACACCGATGTGACCTAGGAGAAGGTTTGGTGGGGACACATTGAGACCGATGTGACCTAGGAGAAGGTTTGGTGGGGACACACTGAGACCGATGTGACCTAGGAGAAGGTTTGGTGGGGACACATTGAGACCGATGTGACCTAAGAGAAGGTTTGGTGGGGACACATTGAGACCGATGTGACCTAGGAAAGGTTTGGTGGGGACACACTGAGACCGATGTGACCTAGGAGAAGGTTTGGGTGGGGACACACTGAGACCGATGTGACCTAGGAGAAGGTTTGGTGGAGACACATTGAGACCGATGTGACCTAGGAGAAGGTTTGGTGGGGACACACTGAGACCGATGTGACCTAGGAGAAGGTTTGGTGGGGACACATTGAGACCGATGTAACCTAGAACAAGGTTTGGTGGGGACACATTGAGACCGATGTGACCTAGGAGAAGGTTTGGTGGGGACACATTGAGACCGATGTGACCTAGAAGGTTTGGTATAATGACTGATCTCTGCTCAGCACAGGACACGCACTGATGCAATGTATGTAAATTCCCACCTGCAATGTACAGAACTTTCAGCAATCGCAGTGCCTAGTCCTCCTAGTTCTCCGTTTGCCCCAAAGATTTACATCGTCAGTATGTATCAGTTCACAGCTCTTTCTTTCCACAGCAGTCCTATCATCCTACAAAATATCTCAAGCAGGCTTTGATGGTACAGATTGTGTGTGGAGATTTGCCATTCCATTGATATGTAACATTTGCCACAAGTTCACAGGTTCAAAACCCTCCTCCATGTGATTGGTGGCTTCGGCCAGCAGTCAGGCCGGCGTGGCACAAGGGGTGATGCCAAGATCCAGCCTGTCCTCAGGTGAGGAGAGGTCGTACATGGACTGCACTGATGACTCTCCTCTACACTGCTGGGCGGTGTGGAGAGGTCGGCCAGCACTGACTAGTACAGGACATTGGAAGGTGGCTCCCCCTAGGTGTGGGGCTGTTAGCAGCAGCACTGAATAGTTTACAATGGCTGTGACCCTGCAGAGAGCTCCTTCCACATGTCCTCAGCCACATGGAGGTAGACAACCCTGCCTTATATTACGGTTCTGCTGACATCATCCTGGGCCTCCCGATAGTCCTAGTCCACCTGTATCGGTCCGGTATGGGTCACTTCTAGGAGGCAGGTAGAGATTTCCTGAGCCCCCCTCATTCCCGTATTTCATGACATTTTTTTCATGTCAGCCTTTCCTTAGCAATTCCTACCCCTGCGCTTTGGGCTTGCCTTCCTGATGTAGCCACAAGCAGAGACACATTTCTTTGTATAGTGTATCAGATATTTATATATATATATATTTATAGGTATATATATAAATATATCTATTTTTGTTGGATGGTATTATTAGACAGGTGGGAGTTAGACTACGCCTGATACTGTACTGTATTTAAAAATATTGTAGTCACCAAATGTGGTTTTTTTTTGCACAGTAGGTCAACCCATGTAGAGGTCAATTTTGTTTTTTCAGTTGTAACTTTTATTAATGTAATGCTTTTTATTGTCTCCGATGCCCCCATGACGTTTGTATGACGCCCCCATGACGTTTGTATGACGCCCCCATGACGTTTGTATGACGCCCCCATGACGTTTGTATGACGCCCCCATGACGTTTGTATGACGCCCCCATGACGTTTGTATGACGACGACGTTTGTATGCCCTGTCCCTGAATGCGATGGACGTGTTGTTTGTACAATATACAAGATGGCTGCCGGGACAAGCCTACGCAGAGCTGTGCGATCCATGAGGGAACATTCTTCTATGAAGGGTTCCCGTGATGGAGGAATCATGTTTCCGCATACTCAGCCCGCGCCTCACGATGACATTTCAGGACGACATGATCTGACATGTAAATGCTGTCAGTTCCTGGATGTCGATGACCCGCCAGCCATCTCCCCGTTCAATGTACTGTATTGCCATTGTCTGTGTACTGAACTCCTAGAACAATGGAGGTGTTGTGGGGCGCACAGCCAGGCGTGAATCGGTGTGTATCGATCGATGGAACCATGTAATCCAAGTGTGATTGTCGGTGTGTGTGTGCATCTATGTCTACTGTCACAGGGTATACACTTCCATTTCAGTCGTTGTTGTTAAATAGGTTTTTTATTTATTGTGAGTTTAAACACAAACCTCTTCAAATAAAATAACAAATAAAACAAGCGGTCTAATCAATGTCTGGGGGGGCGGGGAGTACTGAGGAGGGAGGGGCGGGGGGGACTGAGGAGGGAGGGCGGGGGGGGGGAGGGGTGCATCATGGCACCAGAGGGTCCAACTTCCGGAATGTCACGGATGGGCCCTCCACCTCCCACAAGGAACCTCCGAATGTCACGGATGACACGCCCTCCCACAAGGAACCTCCAAATGTCACAGATGACACGCCCTCCACCTCCCACAAGGAACCTCCAAATGTCACGGATGACACACCCTCCCACCAGGAACCTCCAAATGTCACGGATGACACGCCCTCCACCTCCCACAAAGAACCTCCAAATGTCACGGATGACACGCCCTCCACCTCCCACCAGGAACCTCCAAATGTCACGGATGACACGCCCTCCACCTCCCACAAAGAACCTCCAAATGTCACGGATGACACGCCCTCCACCTCCCACCAGGAACCTCCAAATGTCACGGATGACACGCCCTCCACCTCCCACAAAGAACCTCCAAATGTCACGGATGACACGCCCTCCACCTCCCACCAGGAACCTCCAAATGTCACGGATGACACGCCCTCCACCTCCCACAAAGAACCTCCAAATGTCACGGATGACACACCCTCCCACCAGGAACCTCCGAATGTCACAGATGACACGCCCTCCCACCAGGAACCTCCAAATGTCACGGATGACACGCCCTCCACCTCCCACCAGGAACCTCCGAATGTCACGGATGACACACCCTCCCACCAGGAACCTCCGAATGTCACGGATGACACGCCCTCCACCTCCCACCAGGAACCTCCGAATGTCACGGATGACACGCCCTCCACCTCCCACCAGGAACCTCCGAATGTCACGGATGACACGCCCTCCACCTCCCACCAGGAACCTCCGAATGTCACGGATGACACGCCCTCCACCTCCCACCAGGAACCTCCGAATGTCACGGATGACACGCCCTCCACCCTCCCACCAGGAACCTCCATGTCACGGATGACACACGCCCTCCACCCTCCACCAGGAACCTCCACATAATTGTGAGGGAGCACGCAACAAGACAACAGGACTGGAAGGACCGGGCATGGACTTCCCTCTACAGAAGAATGATAGCAGTACAAACACAACTGCCACTTCCCCCACACACCGCTACAGGGAAACTTTACAACACAAGGAATCACCAGCAACAGCAATGGTGGACAACATGTCGCCATTCATCCTTACCCTCCATCCATGTGTCCATCCCTCATCTATCCCTCCGTCCATCCATGTGTCCATCCCTCATCTATCCCTCCATCCATCCATGTGTCCATCCCTCATCTATCCCTCCGTCCATCCATCCCTTCATCCATGTGTCCATCCCCCATCTATCCATCCCTCATCTATCCCTCCATGTGTCCATCCATCCCTCATCTATCCCTCCATGTGTCCATCCATCCCTCATCTATCCCTCCGTCCCTTCATCCATGTGTCCATCCCCCATCTATCCATCCCCATCTATCCCTCCATCCATGTGTCCATCCCTCCATCCCTCCATGTGTCCATCCATCCCTCATCTATCCCTCCATGTGTCCATCCATCCCTCATCCTATCCCTCCGTCCATCCATCCCTTCATCCATGTGTCCATCCCCCATCTATCCATCTCTCATCTATCCCTCCATCCATGTGTCCATCCTCATCTATCCCTCCATCCATGTGTCCATCCCTCATCTATCCCTCCATCCATGTGTCCATCCCTCCATCCATGTGTCCATCCCTCATCTATCCCTCCATGTGTCCATCCATCCCTCATCTATCCCTCCATCCATCCATCCCTTCACCCATGTGTCCATCCCCCATCTATCCATCCCTCATCTATCCCTCCATCCATGTATCCATCCCTCATCTATCCCTCCATCCATGTGTCCATCCCTCCATCCATCCCTTCATCCATGTGTCCATCCCCCATCTATCCCTCCATCCATCCCTTCATCCATGTGTCCATCCCTCATCTATCCCTCCATGTGTCCATCCATCCCTCATCTATCCCTCCGTCCATCCATCCCTTCATCCATGTGTCCATCCCCCATCTATCCACCTCTCATCTATCCCTCCATCCATGTGTCCATCCCTCATCTATCCCTCCATCCATCCCTTCATCCATGTGTCCATCCCTCATCTATCCCTCCATGTGTCCATCCATCCCTCATCTATCCCTCCGTCCATCCATCCCTTCATCCATGTGTCCATCCCCCATCTATCCATCCCTCATCTATCCCTCCATCCATGTGTCCATCCCTCATCTATCCCCCTCCATCCATGTGTCCATCCATCCCTCTTCTATCCCTCCATCCATCCCTTCATCTATGTGTCCATCCCTCATCTATCCCTCCATGTGTCCATCCATCCCTCATCTATCCCTCCATGTGTCCATCCATCCCTCATCTATCCCTCCGTCC